CCTGGACCTGAGCAGGCATTTCAGTGGAGCTGGCTGTGGCAGACCCATGCCAACTGCTGTGCCAGCACAAGAGCTGAGCCAGGAAAGCTCTAATTTTGCTGGGGAAGTGGTGCTGGAACACTACAACCCGTGGCCAGGCCGTGGCTCTGGCTCACTGAGCGCAGCTCCTGTGGTACCTATTCCTGGAGGGTCTGCTCTAGTGCTGTGCCTGGGGCTCAGTGGGGCTGGGTGTCAGCCCTGGGCAGTCTGAGGGTGGGTGTTGGGTCAGGATGGGAAAGTGTCCTGTCATGGGAAGCACAGAGAGGCAGTCAGTGTCTTGGGCCTGGATCAGAGCTTACCATCACTCTCTGCTCCCGGTCAAGGATGGAGGTCCCTCTACTACACGAAACTGCCCCAGCAAAGGGATCCCCCAGATCTCCCTCAGTGAGAGGGGGCCTGATCCTGCGGAACACAGAGTGTCTCCACTTGGCTGAGCACCCCCAGCTCCTGCCAGCATCACTAGTGCCCAGCCCAGCACTTTGTTGGACTCATTTCAGCCAAGGAAACTCCTTTCCTCTGCAGGCATTTCTCCGGCCAAACCAGCAGCCAGTCGCCGGCGACTCTCCCCCGGCTGGAGATTATTTTGGAGTGTCTGTTGCTCCTTTTTTTTGCACTCTGAATTATGCACGGCACTGGTTTGGGATGGAAAGCCTGGCAGATTTCTGCTCTGTGTGCCTTGGGGTGGCTGTCGGGGCACGAGCCCACCGTCCCCACGTCGCTGAGGCTCCGAGCCTCCTTGTGTGGTGCCAGGAGGTGAATGTGCAGCACTGGGATCACTGGGCTGCCTTGCTGAAGTGCAGGATGCAGGGAGCAGAGCTGGATAAGGGTCTCTCATCTGAATTCTAAATTTCCCTGGGAAAGTCCAATACGAGCCCTCAGCGACCGTCCCGGGTGGGAAAGCCTCTCGCTGTCCATGCAGGTGCATCTTGTCTCAATTTACTCCAAGCCCAAAAGCAGTAAATAACATCTGCAAACCATTTCTAGCGCTTCTGCCAAAAACTGGGAGATAAAACCCGCTGTCGTCTGAGCCGGGCCGCCGGTGATTAATGCCGTACCTGCCGGCAGTCCCGGGGCTGGGGGCGGGCAGCACCGGCCCCCGGGGGGCTTTGGAGTGGCAGGAGTCGAAGCTGTGGGGTTTGGCCGACGTGAAACTCGTGTTTTGGGTCTGCCCTCTGATGCGTTTTGTTCTCGGGGCTGTTTTTTGATGCCGTCGAGGCGATGGCATCGCCCCTGCTGATCTCACGGGGACGGGCCGGGGCTGTGTGAGCTGCGCTGCCGCGGCCAGGGATAACACCGTGTGATTTATGGGAGCAATCAGTTGCTACTAGGAGCTGGTTAGGAATTTTCCGATGAAACAGGGATTGCGTCAGAAACCGCTGAGTCATCTCAACTGTTTCATAAAAAAAAAAAAAAGAAAAGTATTTTAAAAAAAAAAATCCTTTGGCTTTGATGAACTTTTGGTGAAGCGCAGACTGAATGTGTCTTGCCTGTTGACGGCTACCCCAGCCCTTGCCTCGGGATCAGCCTTCCCACCCTCCTGCATTCCTCCCCCTGGGGCATCCCTGCAGCAGAACGGGGTCACCCAGGCATGGGGTCTCCTGGGGTCCCACCTCCTGCCAAACCCCAGGACTGGGGGGATGTCGGGGCTCGCATGGACCAAGGCTGCTCTGGAGTTTTCAATGTGAAATAATTCGATGCTTTTAAAACCTCTCGTGTTCAGACTTTTCCCTCTTGGTTGTTCCAAAACGGAAAGGGTTTTCTCCTGCATGTCTCGGGCTGGGATATTTTGAAATGCAGAAGTTGGGTGAACTCAAGTGCTAAATTTTCCCAGTGTCCTGGTCACAGCCAACCGATGGAAAATTGCAAGTTGCAAATCAACCTGGCTGGGTAAATTAGAACAGGCTGGCAGACATTTAGCCAAACAGAAAAGGAGACTTCATTTCCCATGTAAATTTTTTGGGACGGATTCTCTGTCACACAGACATCCCTGGGAAGACTGAGTCCAAATTAACAACACCGTGGACCTGCAGTGATCCCTGCAGAGTGTTGGGAGCTGTGTGGGGATCTGTGCCCCATGGTGGGGTTGCACTCACCCTGAAGCACTGCAGATGGACACTCCTGGCCTGTGGCAAATGGTGACAGGGCTGAATGTGGCCACCAAGGTCCAAGAGCAGCCAGTGCCATAACCTCCAGTGATGACCTTGGGTGCACTGGGAGCACTGGTTTAGCCCTGTGCAGGGCAAGTCTAGAGGGGAAGGAGGAAAGGCTTGAGCTGAAGAATCTCTGGTGGGGTGAAGGGATTGTTCAGGTGGGCTGCTCAGAGCTGATGGGATGTCACCAGTGCCTGTGCAGGGGGGACTTGCTGAGGAATGCATGGGAATGTGTGTTGCCACGTAGGTGAGGTGTCTCACCACGTTTTACACGTACTGACTGCAGAGAACAGACCAGATATATCATATATAGGTTATATACACTGTGTAATTGTGGCCTTCTTTACCCACAGGCTTTTCTCTCTCTCTCTCACACACAGATCAGATACAACCCGTGCACGGCTGTCACTGAGCCAGGGGGTCTGTCCTCATCCAAAACGGCTCTTCACGTGCCCCCAGCCAATTTTCTGACCCCATTTTCTGCGCGGCAGAAAACTGTTTCAAGCAGCATGACTGACACCGGGCCTCAGCAAACAACCCTCAAAATCCCAGAACCTCGAAGATTTGGTTTATTTTTCAGCAGAAAGTGAAATTAAAAGCCTGGCAGTCCGTATCCAACCACCCCTCCCCTCTGCCCTTCCAGAGGCAGGATGCGACCTCGGGCTGCCCACCAGGGTACCGGCAGTGTTTCCACCAGGGTACCGGCGGTGTTTCGGCCGGCGATGTGGGGCTGGGTGTAGGGGTGGGGGCAGCAGGTAGCGTTCCCTCGCCCGAGGAGGGGAGACAGCATCCTCCCGGGAGATGGCCGGGAAGCGGGGGGAGCAGAGCATCCTCGCGGGGGTCCACGAGGAGGGGGAGTGCAGCATCCTCCCGGTGGGTGCCCCGCGAAGTGGGGGAGCCCAGCATCCTCCCGGGAGGTGCCGGGGGGGGACCAGCGCTGCGTGGACCGAAGAAGGAACGCATGCGTGCGCTGCGGGCTCCCCCGCCTGTGCCCCCCGGTCTCGCCGCAGGAAACCGGCTGGCGGCCGCGGGCCGGCGCCCGGGGAGGCGAGGGTTAACCGGGGTGGGGGCATCCCGCCGAGAGGTGTGAATTCCGCCGCTCTCCCCCCTATCCCCCCCCACTCTCCCCCCCCCCGTCGCGCTATAAGAGCGGCCGGCGCGGGCTGGGGGAGCCACTGCGGCGGCTCCTCCTCCTGGAAGCCCGGCGCTTTTGGCTGCCCTTTGAAGTCGGGAGAGGGAGAAGGAGGGAGAGAGCGTCTGGGGCCGCCGCTGCTCCGCTCCGCGCCGCCGCCGCTCCCGCCCGGCCCGGAGCATCGTCCCCGCCCGCCCCGCCGCCGCCAGGTACGGCCCGTCCCGTCCGGGTCCCGTCCCATCCCGGCTCCTCCGGACCCTTCCCCGCTGCCCGCCCCGCAGAAGTCGAGCCCCGCATCCCGGCTCTGCATCATCGCCCCCGCATCGCCCTCCTGCCGCCGGCGCTCCCCCGGTGCGGGCTCCGCGATGCTGCTCGGCCACATCCCTCCCCGCTTTCCTTAATTTTTCCTCTATTTAACCACGCAGCCCCGACCGCCTGTAGGATAAACTCCGAGCGCGCTCTGGTATTGGCTTCGAGTCAGGAGTGTCTGGGAGCCTTAATGAGAACCAAGTGTAAGGCAAGTCTCAGCCACCTGTCCCCGAGATCCCCGGCCAAGCGCTCTGGGCTCCCATTAATCAATGGATCTGCCTCTTGGAAAGTCTCTTTTGCATGCTGGACCTCTCCTCTAGGGCGCTCGCAGAGCGGATTTGGGGACCTGGAAACCCTCTGGTAATTTTTCTAAGCCAGATACCAAAGCAGTGCTGGTACTGCCGGCAATTCTGCATTTCCAAAACCGCTACAAAAACCTTTGCAAGGAGGAAAAGAAAAAAAAAAAGCGGTAGGAAAGAAGCTCTTTATGTTGCAGATCTGCAGTCCTGCCCCCTCTCCTTAGGAGCAGCACCTCTCCCACCCCCCTGCTTCCCAAAGATACTGTCTAGCTGCTTTTCAAGGGAAATTAGCTCAGGGGAGGATATTTTTTCTTTCCTTTTCTTACAGACGTGAGCTGCTTTGATTGCCTGGAAGCACGATTTCCTGAAACCTGCTCCTTTCTGGCTCTTGCAGCGAGGTTCACAATAAAACGTATTGTGGTTTTGAGCTGGGTTTTATTTAAGAAAATGCCATTCTGGGTTACTCTCTTTCATGAGGCAGATGGAGAAGGAGATGAAAGGCTGACACTTGGGATACTTCATTTCTGCTCTTTAATTGTGGGGCGTTTCTTTTCTATAAGAACAGGCTCCTTCCCTGGGAATCGATGGGAATTGGAGTGGAACAAATGAAAAAAAGGAGAAATAATGGCTGTTAATTGCACTTTTTTGTTTATGAAGCCTTTCATCTCATTCTTCCAGGACCAGTTCTGTAAATGAGGATATTTAAATGCACTGCTTTTATGGATCCAGGGACACTTCTAGTTACTTGCTGTGCAACACTTGCTTTGGTGTAAGTCGTGCTCTCTTTCAGGACAGGTTTGGAGTGGTGTCAGGTGCAGCCACTGGAAACCTGTGCAAAGCTGTGGTTTGACAGAGAACAACCGAGCTGGGAAGTGAGCCTGTACTGTGTTAATGCTTCCACTAATTAAATATAATTTTAGGCTCAAACCCTTGCAGTCACTGGAGGCTGGTGTCACTTGGCTGACTGGGAATGCTGGAGAACACATGTGCTGTGTAACCCAGGCAGCAAAGCAGCCCCTGCTGCTGGTGGTGGGGCTGGGTGGGATTTTTGCTTAGTGCAGTGTCTGGTTGCTTTCTAGGATGAAGGTACCTAAGTGGAGGTGGAGCAGCATCTCCATCAGTGCCCGATCGCAGCTGAAAGGCACCCTGGCCCTTCTTCTTGTGGGCAACGTTTTCTTTGTGATAGCTCAGGTAAGAACATCACCTTCCAGGGGGTCCCTGGGCTTTAAAATGCTGCAGTGTCTGAAAGAGCAAACCCTGGGGCTTTTGCAGGACTACTCTGTGCATGCATCAGGTCTCCAGAAGGCGTGGAGCTTTCTGACTTGGCTTAGCTCTTTAGTTTGGGCTTGTAAGTTGTACCTTTTAGGGGACAATAATAAGGTTGTACTTTCATGGCTAACAGTATTCACAGGTCATTTCAAGGACTCTGAAAGGCTGAGCCCTGCTCTAGGGCATCACTCCTCGGTCCCTGCAGTGGCTGGAGCTTTCATTTACTTTGCATGGAATAATTTTATCCCTTTTTCAGTAAGCACAGAAATTATAGCACTCCCCTAATCAGCAGGTGATTCTGGGGGGAAAATTAAGTCCCTCCCACTGCAATGAGCAATAGCTGGGATCCCCCAGCAGGCTCTATGCCCCTTGGTAAGGGATGTGGATGCATCTCATTTGGCCTCTGCATGGCTGCACCAGGAGGTGGGACGTGGGGGTGACAGGGACCCTCCTGATGTGCCAAACCTGTGCTTGCAAAGAGAGCACACAGGCTCCTCCAGCCTGCTGGCACCCAGTGGCACCCACTAGCATGCTCTCCTGCTGCAGAGGGGTTTTGAAAGGGTTTGCTGAAGCTTTCAGTGAAGCTTTTGGCTGCAATTGGCTTTTCAGCTCCCTGAATTCTCTATGGAACAAGAGTCAGAGAGCACCAAAAGTCTTGGAGCGTTTGGGGTTATTTGGGAGCTTGGTTTTGCCAACTGAGAGAAACAATGAGCATTTCCTTTCCTGAGGAATCCCAAATATTGCCTTTTCATTCCAATTTGTAATGAAAACACAATTGGAAAAATGCAAGACTTCTTGCAGGATGGAACCCTCAGAGCTGACCTCAGCTGGAGAAGGCAATGCTCTGATCTCACAGGGCAGGCTGGGAGGGGGATGCCCTCAGTCCCCTCACCCAGGCTCCGAGGTGTGGACACTGACTGCTGCTTCTCTTGCCCCACCTGCTCCAAGCAGGACCTGACACAGACCTCCAACAGCCTGGAGGAAGGGGCAGACGTCACGGCGTACTGGTGGGGCGAGTGGACCAAGTGGACGGCGTGTACCAGGACCTGTGGGGGAGGTGTCAAATCCCAGGAGAGGCACTGCCTGCGGCAGAGGTACGGCACTCACTTGGTGAGGGGGGGGGGAGGAGACTCCAGCTTGCTGGAGGTAAACTTGATCCAAAATGTTGTTGCTCAGTGAATAAGGATTGATAGAAAAGTGTCTGAACCCTCTTTGGGCAGAAGGTGTGTCCCTGAGGGTGCTGTGCTCTGGGCATCCCTGCCAGGGCCACCAGCCAAGCTACTCCTGTGCTGGCCCTGCAGTGTCTCCAGCAGGGATTAGTGCAGCAGACACACTGTAAGCCCATTCCCAAGGCTTCTGGGCACAGCAGTGAGGACCCCCGTGGTGCAGGGTTGGTTGGGGACCTGCTGATCCCAGGTGCTCTGTGCCTGGCTCTGCTCTCTCCAGGCTGTGTGGTCACCAAAAAGCACTTTGTAAACTTTGTCCCCAGCCCTCATCCCCATGATACCTGCTGGAATAGTTGATGCTGCAGGTAACAAAGCCAGAGAGACCTTTGCTACCCACTCCAGGGAGATTATGTTAGATCTCTCTGCTACATGGAGACTGACCTTACAGAGACAAGGGACAAATATATCTAAAAAAGGGAAAATTATTTTTGATCCTTGTCTAACCATCATCTCCTTATTCAGAAGAAAATCGGTGAGTGGGCTGGCTAATAAAACTTGCACTGGGACATCCAAAAGATACCAGCTCTGCAAAGTACAAGTAAGGATATCTTTTGTCTTGTTGGGAACAATCAGTGTGGGAAGTCATGTGTGGCATTTCTGGGTCCCTCGGAGAGGCAACACTATTTGCCCTGTAGCTGTCACCCTGCTGCCCCTCCAAGCAACTGGGAGTCCCCTTCCTTAATGCCCATCACTATTATGTCAGGACTTTGGGCTTTTTACCTTTTCTGGGGGCTGTAAAACCCCAACGTGAGTGATAATTGCACCATTTCCCAGGGGGTTCCCCCTGGCTGTTCCTGCAGTGGGGGGAGGAGAAGGAGGAGGAGGAGGAGGATATAGCCCTGGATGGGGAAGGTGGTGGAAACACTCCTTGCAGCTGGTCGTGATGTGCCAGAAACTTTTCCTGCACTTTGTTTCCATCAGGATGTTAATGTATCCTATTCTAGGAGTGCCCTGCGAACGGAAGGAGCTTCCGAGAGGAGCAGTGCTCATCATTTAACTCCCATGTGTATAATGGCAGAACATATCAATGGAAACCTTTATATCCTGGTAACAAGACATTCTTTGTGTGTTTCATAATGCTCAGCCAAATATTTTGATAGTTATGATGCTGCAGCCTGCAGGAAGGCTCCTCCTCTGCTGTTTCAAAATGATTTTTCAGAGGCACAATCAGCTGTCCCAACTTCCAAAGGCATGTTTGGCAGCTGCAGGGTAGCTTAAAAATTGAATAATAACACGAATTTGAGGCTGTAGCCGGTGTTGCTCTCAGCTCATGGGGGCCAGAGGGGCTGGAGGGGGATGTGAGAGCATGGGGTGATGGGCTATGCTGGCAGGGAGGGTCAGGCTCACCCGGACAAGTGTCCTTTGAGATGAGGCCATTGCTGGCTGTGCTGTGTTTCGGTGACATCTGTCGCTCCCACGCCCTCCATGTGCTCTGTCAAACGTCACCCAGATTCAGTCAGTCAGTTTGGTCACCCAGGGTGAGCGACACAGAACTGCAGGAACAACCTGGGAGTCAGAGACTGAGATTTTATTTAAATTTTAGACACCAAACTCCCATCAGAACCAAGTGTTACAACACAAATCATGGCCAAGTTTTAGAGCTACTGGGTACTCAAGACCCTTCTCCTGTTGAGGAGGCTGCTGAGTGCTGGTTCTTCAGATTCACAGTGCCATCGGGTGCCTAAAAATAGAGGTGGGATCTGTTGCAACTTTATTTTAGTGGTCTCTGTCCATGCCTAAGAACAATCACTCTCCATGAAATCACTTGTTGCCTCCTTTACTGTGTAACAAGCCCTTCCCTCTCCAGCCCTGGCAGGGTCAGCAGGGTAGAACTTGGCCCATGAGCTGCAGCTCCTTGGTGGCTTTGTCCCTTTGCTGTGGCAAGGTGACAGTTTCTCTAAACATGTTTGTTCCTCAGGCTGATTCACCAGGGATGTTGCAGTGAATTGCTTTGTGTTTTAGCAGGTGCTCATGTGGCTCCTGGGGGATTTGCACAGTAATGTTTTGACACTGGTGCTGCCTTGCTGGGGCACACAGGCCAGTGGGTACACAACTGCTCAGGATTTGGGGGAGATAAACACTTGGCATCATGTTTTCTGATGCAAATATGAGTTTGTAATTTGTTTCCTGTGGATGTTGTAAAATGTGGGACTGCTGTGCTGGTGGATGCTGCCAGACAGTTTTGTCTGCAGAAAGCAAAGGGCAAATTAAGTCCAATATGGGGTGAACATTTATGGAAAAGTTATATAGTTATAAAATGTTTTAAGTTGCTATGGGTTTGAATATAGGCTTACTTATGTCTTTCTAACAATACATCTGTTTATTTAACTCCTGTATGGAGTGCTGCTATGTGAACATGCATGTTTTTGTGCAAGTCTCTGCACAGAGCAGTGTTGCTGCTTCGGTGCCTGCCCTGGGCTGATGCTGGTGATGCCACTGGCATCCCTTGGGCATCTCTTCCTGGCAGCAGAGAGGTCTGCCAGGCTGTGCAAAGCCTTGCAGCAGAGGGCTGTTACACTGTCAGAAGTGCCATCTCCTGTCTAGCCTGAAACACAAGAGGTGGCAACTTCTGAACTGTTGGCTGCTCTGCAGTTGTTCTGTTGCTGCTGTTGTTTAGCTTGGCAGAGGTTCCTTGACTTCTGTAGGATGAAAGTTATTGTGTTTCTGCTGGTTTTGAATATCTCTTTATATCCTTTCCCCTTAGATGACTATGTTCACATTTCTAGCAAGCCCTGTGACCTTCATTGCACCACCGTGGATGGCCAGAGACAGTTAATGGTTCAGGCTCGGGATGGAACATCCTGCAAATACACTGATTTCCGAGGGGTTTGCGTGTCTGGAAAATGTGAGGTTGTTAAACATTATAGCAAAAATACTGTTAGTAGCATTCAGAAAATTGCGATGGTGCAACGTTTGCCTGACCCTCAATGCTCTGTTTGTGCATTTTTTAGCCCATTGGCTGTGATGGCATTCTCTTTTCCACCCACACCTTGGATAAATGTGGAGTTTGCCAAGGAGATGGGAGCAGCTGCACCCACGTAACCGGCAGTTACCGGAAAGGAAATTCTCATCTTGGTGAGGCCTTGGGGACCGTGGGCTTTATTTGTGTCAGAGGGCTGATTTTAAAATGTACTTATTTCTTTGGCAAATGGCTTTCAACCCTTACCAACTGCCCAGCTTCAGGTTTTTTTTTTTTTTCCCCACGTGTTCTGTGTGTGTTAATGCCACTTGTAAATTTGGGCAGAGAAAGCCTTGTTTAAAAAAAAACAAACAACCAAACAGGAATTTCGCATGAGGGTTGTCAGAAACCAGAGGTGTCTCTGGTTTTGATTGGTGCAAGAGGGTTATGCAAGAGGGTGGTGTCTATTTTAGCCAAAACCAGGACACTCATGACCCAGTAAGACTAGAAATAAATTATTTGTAATAACAGGAAGCTATGATATTTTGAAACACCAGGATTTCAAAAATCAGCAGAACCTACTTGTCCTAAATATAGCAGTCTAACTCAGGAATTGTGATTAATGCTCTCTGAGGATCAGTTTGAGATGGAACAAGCTGCAGGAACCTCAGTGGCTGTAGGAGTACTTGTCCCATCCCATCTCTTGCCTAGTGCTAAGCAAAGGGGAATCAGAGGAGAAACCAGCTGTAATTTCTTGCAGGTGTTTTAGGAAGACTGGCTGACAATGGGATCAGTACTGAACCATGAGACAGCTTCTCTAGCTGATGATATATTTGAAGATAGCTTTTTCTTACACCAGTTTTGATAAACATGATATCTGTGCATGTAAGGATTTCATCCTTTCCCCCCTTTGGATGCGTTTTCCCCCTGTAAACCAGGATGAATTTCCTATTACCGACAAGATCATATTTTCAGCTTAACAGTTACCAACATTAGGGGCTTTTTTAAATCCATGACTCCTCAAAAATAATTTTGGGCCCGGGCCAGGGTGTTTACTATGTTGCAGGGACTGTGGAGTGTTTCATTCAGATTATGTGTTACAAAGATCCTTTCATTAATCCGTAGTTTCCCGTAGGCTACTCTCTGGTAACGCACATTCCCGCTGGAGCGAGGGATATCCAGATAGTGGAACGGAAGAAGTCTGCAGATGTTCTGGGTGTGTATAACCTCTTGGTGCTTCCCTAGGATGCATGCCTATGCTGGATAATGCTTTTTCCAATGCGAAGCTGGAAGCAGTTTTGTCATCCTAGAATATCCTGAGTTGGAAGGGACCCACAAGGATCATCGAGTCCATTTATTGCAGACATGAGCTAAATCTGTAGTCAATGCAAATCCAACCGTGTTGTCTAAGCCAGTGTGTTGCTCTTCTCTGCAGTCTCTGAGCACCTGGGCCGTGTTTATCAACACTTTGATTGCTTTAATGCAGGAACTGTTGGTCAATATTATTGTGATTTCAGTGTGGTGTGACAAACACTCTGGTGCTGGATCACAGATGGCCGAGTGATTTCACCTCTCTTGTGATTCCCTCCACGTTCTCCCACATGGGGAATGTGCAATGGCCCCATGAAAACAGCACCAAGAGGATGTTATCTACATGTTGCCTCACTGAACTGTTGGCGGCCACACCATCCATCTCATGGTGGAGGTGGCAAAGCTGCTTGGGAGCAGTGTGGAAAAATATGGACTTGCCCAAGAGAAGCACATTTGCTGCTGTCGTGCTCTGCTGCCTCAAAGGCTCGTGCCATGTGCAGGAAGGTGGATGCCACACCCTTGGAAGTGTTCAAGGCCGAGTTGGATGTGACTCTGAGCAACCTGGTCTAGTGGAAGGTGTCCCTGCCCATGGCAGGGGATTGGAACAAGATGAGCTTTAAGGTCCCTTCCAATCCAAACTATTCTAGGATGATTCTATGAATGAAAAAGGCTTGGTTTAGTTAACAGTTCCTGGGCTAGCTCTGGGTGACCTATTTGGGCCACTGCTGGCTCAGGTGGCATCAGCTCAGGGCTCCCAAGGAGACAGCTCCTGCCCTTGGCCATCTGACAGGCTCTGTCTGCAGGGCTGGGATTGTTAAATGTTCACCCTGTGCTGGTGCCAAAAGGGTGAGAGTAGCCATGGGCAAGTGAAAGCCACATACCCAGGAGCTTGCAATGTACACATGGCCCAGAACTCTGGGCACATAATCGTGTGATTTGTGTTGGAGATAAGTGACCAATGCATTGCAGTGTAGGAGAATTGCTTGTTTTATGACTGTGACACTCTAATTTTATCCCCTGAATGAACAAGGGGTGGTATCACACACCTCTGCTCTTGCATGTGATGGCCCTGACTTTTCTCTCTCATTTGAAGCTGTGGCTGATGAAGCTGGGTACTATTTCTTCAATGGGAACTATAAAGTTGACAGTCCAAAGAACTTCAACATTGCAGGCACAGTGTTCAAGTACCGCCGGCCCATGGACGTGTACGAGACCGGCATCGAGTACATTGTTGCCCAAGGACCAACAAATCAAGGGCTGAACATAATGGTGAGCTTTGATTTTTGGGGTTTTTTTTTCAGGTTCTCAAGGCTGGGGGTGATGGGGAAGAGAAAACCTGCACTGGATCAAAGAATGGGTGGCCATGGAAACAGAGTCCTGCCACATGGCCAGCTTGAGGAGGGGAGTGGGAGCAGTGACCAATTACTTACACAAACCTACTTAATCTGTACTGGTGCTCTCGGGTGCAGGCAGGGCTGTGAATAATGAATGTGGGCTTGGTAACTCCTCTCTGCAGGGAGAAGATGCCTCAGGCACTGCAGGGGGATTTTTCTTCTGCTCCTTGGCACTTGTATCCAAGTTACCTGGCAGGAAAAGTGAAAATAAGAAATTGGGCCAGAGAGCTTAGACAAGTGCATAAAACTTAAATCCCAATTCTTTCCTGAAAGCAAACCATCTAAAACCAGGCATTTGGAGAAAAGTCCCTTAATTTTCTCCTGGGCAACCAGCCAGAGCCCAACTCCTGAGATCTTCCATGTAGCCCCAGGCTCCTCTGGAAGGGGAAGCAATGGTTGCCTGGGTGCTTATAAAACATTAGACCAGTAAGAGGTTGTAGTGCCTCAGCTGGGAGTCCCCAGCCCCACTGTGGGTATAGTAGCTAGAGGGTGTGTGTGCTCTTCATGAAGCCACCAAAAAAAGGCTTTGCCTTTTTGGTCAGTAGGTTCTGAAGTGGCTCTCCCAGGTCTCTCGTCACTCGGTGTGATCTGTGGCTCACAGTCCCTGAGCTGGGACTAATCCCCATGCCAAATAACCCTTGGAAAACTGTGGTGGGCTCCAGTTGGAAGAAGCTGGCAATGTGAAGGAAAGCAGATTGGAAATAGCAAAGTAGATGCTCACCAATTGTCAAGTCCAAAATGAATCACAAGCTCTGTGTGCCATACATTCACTGCAACTGCTAATAACTTAATTTGTTTGCTAGGTCTGGAATCAAAATGGCAAGAACCCGTCCATCACGTTTGAATACACTCTCCTGAGGAAGCCACACTCAAAAAATCTGCAGCCCATCTACTACACCTTCTCCGAGTCAGACAGTGAAGAGAGCAGGGAGTTCGATGGGGACGTGCCACTGGGTTTTATCCAGCACAATGCAACCTACTTTGGGAAAATCTCCACGGAAAGGATAGACTTGGAGAACCAGGTGTTTGGAAGGCAGGACACGGAGGAAGATTTAAACTTGAGCAAAGGTCAGGAAACCAATGAGGTCTATGAAAGAGCAGAAACAATTGACTGTGAGCCAAAACTGAAGGGCAAACAACCCCAAGGTAAGGAGGAGACTTGGGCCTCACTGTTCTGCTTCTCAGAGCTCTTGTTGAGAAACGCTCTGTTTCTACCTCTGGTGACCCTGTTGGTTTGTGTTTCGGAAACCTCGGAAAGTTCTTTAAAACATCTCTGCTCATAAATCCTCTTTGCCCTTCAGGTTCTGGTTTCTGGTGGGGGTTGGAGGGTGGACAGTGGGTAAAGTCTCCCCGCTGATGCCCTGCTGTGCTTTGCTTCATGCTGAGGACAGGAGGGAGCCCTGGGTACTCAAAACTCCCCATCACAACATTTTCTGTCAACACCCACCCCTCCCCAGACCCCAGCAACTTCCTTCCCACTCAAATCCCTTTGGCATCCCACCCTCAAACTGCCTTGAGTGCTTTCCCAGCATGGCTGCATGTGCTCTGGGGCCAGGAGGGCACCTTCCTTTCCGACCTCTGCTACTGCTTGGGGCAGTGCTGGCGGGTGCTGAGCTCTCCTCTGGCCACACCACAGAGGGAATAAGACCCACAAAGCTGCACACCCTCCCCAAAGGGGTACAATCCCATGAGATTCCCCCTCCCCAAGAACCCAACTCCTGCCTCTCTTCCCCTGGGTGGCTGCTCAGGCGTGTCCCCGCTGCTCCGGGCTGCTTTCCCCTCCCAGGCTCAGTGCATTTTGTGGTTGTCACTGTTGTTTCCCCCCTGTTGGCTCCAATCTAGATTCAAACGTAACCAGGTCTACTTACCAGACAGACCATGACGACAGAGACTTCGACCCCAGGTTCGCCTCCAGGGAGTTCCTCTTGGAGAATGCCATCACGGACAAGCTGCTGGACAAGGCCTCGGACTCCAAGGAGCTGGTGCTCAACATGACCATGAACAGCATCTTTGCCCAGGGAGACCCCATCAACTCCGTGGGGTCACACATTGACAGCCTCTACGTTGACTACGAGGACACTGATGGGGTTGTGACCTACTCCATCAACAGCACTTACCTGGAGCTGAGCAACGGCAAAACCACCAACACGTCGGCAGAGACACCGTTTTCAAACACCACGGTCACCGTGAGCAGCCCTCAAGGGAACAGAACCCACAAAGCAAGGTAGGACACGAGTCTTTAATTGTAGTAGTTCCTGCTTAGTGTTGTTTTCAACTCATAATAGCCCTTTGCTGAATGCAGACCCCATTGCATGTTTTCTCTCTGCTTTGGAAGCAGAAGGTAAGTGGGGGTAGGATGATGTACATGTAAGTTTTCTGTTGGGAGTTAATTTCGAAGGAAGGGCCAGAGGTTTGGGAGCAGAAAGTCAAGAGAGTGTTTAAGCAAGAGGAAAGCTAATTGTCCTCCTTAGTGGGCATGTTGGTAAGTCCCTGTTGACATTTGTCAGCTTAGGCCTTGCTCTCTCCTGTCACAGCTTGTTGTCAGAGCCATGGCCCCTTTTGCCTTCTCTTGACATCCTGCTCCAATTCCCCAGCCCCTTCCTCCGAGTTCTGATGCAGCAGAAGTTGGTCCTGGCCCCTTCTTACCCACCCTGTTGACTGCCACCTATGATCCTCCTCCCATGTGATGGCAGGAACGTCCTTCCAGCACCTCCCAGGCACAGCCCTGCCTGGGAGATGTTGGAGAGGCAGAGCAGGACACCAGGAGCTCCACTGCAGGTCCTGCAGGAGCAGCCTGGGTTTGTTGCCTCAACAGCTGCAGAAGCAGCACAGGAGTCACTGTTTGGACAGGAATATCACAAGCTCTGCAGTAGCAGCTCATTGATTGATATTGGGACCTTCAGGATTCCTTTAATGGCTGTTTTGAGTGGAAATGTTACAAAATGCCCGTACTGACAGCGGGATGTGGCTCTGGGTTTGGTGTGCCATGGGCAGGGGGCTGGAGCACAAGGCATGGGAAGAGCTTTGGGGGCTGGAGTTGTCCCATCAGGAGGAAGGGAGCTGGAGGGACAGCCAGAAACTGTGTTGGAGGGAATGGGGGTTGGAGACAAGGGAAAACCTCTTTGTCCTGGTTTGGGGCAGGGTCAGGGATCCCCATCCTTGGAGAAGGGCAAGGCCCTGTGGGACCAGTCTGTTATTGGGGTCAGCCTAGTTCTGGGCAGGAGGTTGGACTTGAGACCTCCCAAATCCATCCCAGGCTCAATTTGGGATGGATGGTGCCTTTTTGCTCATTTTCATTCCCTGTCAATGAACAAGCAAGGGAAGATCAGCTCTTTGCAGCCAGTCTGTCCGTGTGGGACAGTGTTGGTTGGAGGTGGGGGAGTTTATTGCCTTCTGAACTCTTGTAGGTCTTAGTGTGGATGGATTTACCCAGTTACAGGAGCACCTTGCAGGAGCTCTCCCAGAGAGGTGTTCCCTCTCTAGGAACAAGCCCCACTGGGATGGGGATGGATGGGTGGCTCTTGGGCCATGGTAGGGATGCAATGCTGCTTCTCCTCTCCTGGAGCAGTTTAAAAATGTTCTAGGATGTGTGGGACAGATCCAGGCACCCTTCATCCTTCATCCCATGCTGTGGTGTGCAGCCAGGGCTTATCCTGCAAGAGAACCCACCCTTTTGCTTAGAAAAAACCCCTGAAATTACCCAGAGAACTGTCAGCCCAGGGACTCTGGATGTTGATCTGTGGTGTTTATGTGTATTTGTCAGGATTATTCCTCTACTACGGGGACTGTTTTGGGAAAAGGGGAAGCCCAGACCTCAACTAGGGATGAGGGACTGGTGCTAATTTTTTGTGCTGTTGTTGCTTGAAAAACATGAAAAGCACAGGCAGGGAAGAAAATACTTGATTTCATTATAAAGCTCATAATAAAGAGAAAAAATAAAATAAAAATCTCCCCAGTTTTATGGGACAATGAGCTGCTGTTTGCATTTAGAAGAGAACAAAAGGACAGTTTTGTCTTTGCTGGAAATGGTCAGAGCTGAACTCTGCCCTGTGCCCAAATGTATGATTCCTATGGAAAGAACTTGTCCCTGCGACCTCCTTATGCATAGAAGCTCTTTTTTGGGATCACATATGTTAAAGGGACACTGTTGAAAGATTTTTCTGTCCTCAGATGTAGGATAAAACTTATTTTGAAGAATTTCTCCTTTTCAAGGGAGAGGGGTCTGGGTCACAGGATAACTTGGTGGTTACACTGGTGCCTTAGAGCAGGGTATAGAGTGAAGGATCCAGGTAATACCCCGTTTTCTAGGCAAATTAAAGCACAAAAAGCAGGTGTTGGCTATGTTTTAATGGATCTCACTGACAAGTGTAATTTGTGAGCCCTCTCCTGGCTGGGTGGCAGCTGGTGGCACGTGGCAGGGACCAGGGGCTGGTGTGGGTCCCCAGGCAGAGCTGCTGTGGCAGATAAAACCCTATTTATAGTGAGTCGAGGTTGCTATTTTTCCACCAAAAAAAAAAGTCACATTCATTTCAGTTCCATTTCAAACGCAGGAAGCGACCCTTTGCCAAACTGACAGAGGCAAAATCAACAGGGAAAATGAGATTGTTGTTGTTTTAAATCCTTCTGGAGGCTCAGTGCTGGTGGTGGAAGGAGGGTGGGTCCGAAAGGAAACGGCTGGATTCTCAACAGTGTCCTTTTAAAGGTTGATTTGATAGGCTGGACCTGAACTTCTTCTTACAAACAACTAAATAAGGCAATTTCAGAGCTTCTGCTGCCTAGAAATCATACAAGCTGCATATCTCGCCAGGCCAGAGACAACTGGATATCAGGATACAACCTTGTATGCTATTCCAGTGTAGCTGTTTCAAGGGTTTGAACAAAGGTATGAGAACAGAATCGAAGCCTTTTGTTGTAAAGGTGCAGTATCCCTGATGTGTTACGCCCTCACAGCCTGGAGGATGCACTGAACGGGGAAAAGCTGCTGTTCTTGGTTTGATAAATGCATTTTTGTACACCAGGCTGACTCTGTTACTCCTTTCCCCCATGCATTCTGTGTTTGAGCACAGTGTGGATCTGAGAGACACAAATTACCTACCTAAAACAAACCAAAATGAGCCAAAGCAAAGAAAGAGCGGCGAAAGCAGCGGGCAGGCAAGTGGGCTTTGAGAAACGGGCTCATAAACTCCTGTGCCATGTGCTGGCTTTGGGAAGCAGTGAACTGTGGAGATTGGAGCAGCCGAAATCTCTGCTGCACTGAGCAGCACGAGTTGGTTTGCCCAGCCCTGGAGACACAGGGGAGGAGATACTGCACCTTTAGTCACTGTATGCCGAGGGCCAGGTGTATTTGAGCAGAAAATGCAAACTTTTTTGTTAAATTCTGAACTGTTTCTACTTGTGGGTATTTTTATCCCATTCTCTCTATTTCTAGACAGTGGAAGCTCTGCCTCTAACCGGGCTGGGGATTCTACTTGGGGCTCAGGACAGGTATGTTGTGAAACAAACAAACAAACAAAAAATTGATTCAAACAAACAAACCTCCCGAAAAATCAGAAAAACCAAACCCAAACAAAGCCAAACAAAGCACATCCCCTCCCAAACCCAAACCCAACCAAACTGCAGCCAGATGTGTGTGTCTGTCGTGGCCTGTCACCGCTCGCCTTGTAAATGCCTTTTTTGTTTGTTTTGTTTTTTGTTTCTTTTTTTTTGTTTTGTTTTGTTTGCTTATCGCTAGAAACAGATTGAAGTTGTTAAGAAAGGGCCAAGGTGTGAGTGCTGCTGACATGTACAGGTGGAAGCTTTCCTCCCATGAACCCTGCAGCTCTACATGTACCACAGGTAGTTATATGAAGCAGCCAAATTCTGCACAACCGCTGAAATCACCTGGTGTGTGAGTCACTTTTATGTCTGTTAGGGATGGGAAGGATCTGGTGATGTGTAGGGGATCCTGTGATCTCTGGAGCTGGTTTAGCACGACCCCAGATCTGCTCTGCCCGGGTGTGAAGGCGGGGAGAGGAGCTGGGGGCTGAACATGCAAAGCCCACTGACCCCTCAGGTGTGTTGAGGACCAAGATTTGGTGCCCAGCATGTCCATCCTCCTGCAAAACACCCTCCCTTTGGGGAGCTCTGAATTTTGCCTTTGCTTCCCTTGGCTTTGTGTCCCTGCTGGGGCTCAGCAGGATCCCCAAACCTGTGCCGAGTCTCCTTTTTCTTTCCCCTTCCTCCCCTTTTTTAACAGCTTTGAGGGGTTTGAAAAGCTCAGCTACTTCCCCGCAGAGTGAAATTTTGAAGATTGTTCAGCTCTGGCAGGAAACACAATGGCATTTGGCTTTTTGATTGTGTTTTGTTTCTCCCACTCCTTCTACCCTGGAGCCTGATCTCGGCTGCGAGGGTGTAAATCTGGAACAGCGACATGGATGCCAGGGATATCAAAACTGAGCCTCTCTTCTTTACACATAAATGTCCTCTTTTTGCATAAATTCCTCCTTTTTGCCCCCTGAAAAGCTTCAAGGCACCTGATCTCTCTCCTCCTCCACCCCTTGGTTAGGGGGTCCTGGCCCCTGCCCATCCCTTGTGATGAAGCAGGCATGTGGGTTGTGCACTCGCCTGCACTGTCCCTGAAATAATCCAGATCCTGTGGTGCTTCTGGAATTACAAAGAAGGAAAGAAGGGGGAGAGAGGAGTTTACAGTCTAAGGGACTTCTCTTAAAAGAGCAGATGCAAGAACTTTATATTTTCAGCATTTTTTCTTGTCCAACAGACTCACGCTCACAGCAGGAACTTTGCAAGCCGTCCCTCTCCCCAAGATCTTGTCATCCACATGTTCTGGGCCATTTTTGACTTCTTTGAGCCCCTCTGAACAAATTTCTCCCTTCACTGGGCCAGCCTGCTCTGCCCTGTTTCGCAGCAAGCCGAGAGAGGTTTTACTTAAATTTCTCCCTTCTCATTGCCTTTTCTTAATGACATATCGCAGAGAAGCAAGGCCATGTCAAGAGCTGTAGATCTTTTTTTGGTTTCATGTAAACCATATGTTCCTGAGAGCTGCAATTCTTGTTACCTGTAGCCAGAGCAGCCTCCTGGTCCCCAGCCAGGTCCCAGAATGGACTTCACAACATTTACTCTGGCACGGGAGGCTGCGGGGGAAAAGGTCTCGGTCTGACGACACTGGCTGCTGCTGCTTTCAGAGGGGGAGCAGGAGGGGCAGGTGCTTCCTTGCCAAGCCTCCAGGAGCCCTGCCTTGGCCTGGAGTGCTGGATGCACCTGGGGAGCACCTGGGTGCAAACAGGGTGTAATGCACAGAGAGAGAGGGTGGATGGAGCGGGTTGGGGACCGTTTTCTGTCGCCTCCACCCACGAGGCAGGGTGGGAGCTTCCAAGCAGACTTGGTGCCCTGAGTATTTCCTATAAAAATGTGTTAGTCATATATTGATTTTGGTGGCAAGCCCTGGCAGGGGTGGCCATGCCTGCTTTGGAGCTGGCCAAACCCAACCACGCCGCTCATATTGGCTGGGTGACCACTGCAGTCCTCCCCTCCCGGCAGCATCCATCCCGTGGGACAGAAAGTCCAGCTTGCTGCTGGAGGAAGTTTGGAAAAACGCAGCTAAAAAAAGAAAAAGAGGGGGGAAAAAAAAAAAAAAGAGTTTGGATGTCCGAAATGACCAAGCATCCCGTTGTGTGTGTGTATTCTCTTTGAAACTAGGAGTGATGTCCACATATGCGATGTGTGTTCGCTATGATGGGATCGAAGTGGATGACACGTACTGTGATGCCATGACCCGTCCCGAGCCCATCCATGAGTTCTGTGCTGGGAGAGAGTGCCAGCCAAGGTACCACCTCAACAGCCCAGAGGGCTTCCTCTGCTGTGGATATCTTTGGGGGAGGGGGTCGGTGTGGATTTGGGGGGGCAGCAGGGACACCCTGTAACAACCCCATCCCTCCTCCCCCAGTTCCATCTGCCCAAGCTGCACTGGGTATGCAGCAAGACTTTCTTCCTGAGTGCTTTAGCTCAAGCTGCCAGGTTAAAACTTCCATAAATCCTGGCAGAGTTTGCACCTGGGGCTCTCATCAAGTCCAGCTTTGAGCAGTGCAGGGCCATCCCTGCCTTGGCTGGAGTGCAGAGAACATCTGAGTGAATTGGGTGGAACGACCAGGTTTTCAAACTGTGCCACAAATCCAGCCCTCTGGTTCCTCCAGCATCCTAAACATCACTGAGATTTGCTTGCTGGTGCAGAGGGGAACCTGTGCTGGAAGTCCTTTTGAAGGTTGCCTTCTGACATGGCTCTCAAACACAGGGATTGTTGAGGTGTCCAGTGCAGGGGTGATTGTGAAGGAAGACAGAGGAGGAAAACACATGGAGTATAAGATCTCCTTGAACCTCTCATGTTAAGGCTGAGAGTCAGGGCAGGCTGCAATTGAGGCACGAAAAGTGTGGGGAGGTGAATGGTGCTGCTGCTGGGAACACACCTGCCCTGTGGGCACCATGGGGACTGTGATCTCTATTTGCAATAACTCTGTAATTTTTTAGCACAAATATTAGGGCTCTTTTCATGCTTAGATTCTCCCACTGGTCTTTCATAAAGCAAGTCTTCCTTATGACTGCTGTTCCAGCTCCACTGGAAGGGTTTGCACTGTAGAGAAGAGCTGCTCTGTGATTTACCAGTGGTTGCAGCTTGGTGATGGGTAAACTGGGGAGCACTGGGAATTCAAACAGGTCAGCCAGCACATTCCCTAGCACTTGGGCAGATGGGAGGCTGCTTGAGCTGGCAACACTTTTCCAACAGAAAATGTTAATTTTGACAGATCTGGATGGGGGAGACCTTGGTTTCATCTCCCTTCTGAATTTAAGTGACACCTCTAAATGTGTGACATCTCCCTGCGGCTGCTTGTTGTGCCTGGAGCCCCACATGGGGTGTGAGGCCTTGTGGCAGCCAGAGACAGGGCTCTCCTGCTTGGAGAGTGGCAGCAGTGGGAGGCATGGAGGCTGCACAGGGCAGTCCTGCATCCAGACGAGCTGGAAATTCTGATCCATTTAGATCTTTATATTTTTAGCTCATGATTTAATTCAAAATTTCTATTCTGTTGCTGTACTGTAAAAAGCTTGACTTTTTATGTCTTTATCCTTGGTTTACAAGCTGCTCCTCTCTTGTCAGGACAGTGGTGGCAGGGGACAGTAAGGGACAGGCAGTGCTTGGAGCAGATCCCAGCTCTTCCAGCCTGTCACATGTGGTTAGCAGAGTTAGAGTGATGGTGGGATGTGAATGTCTGTCCCACCACGGCTCAGGCAGCTTTGTGTGACATTATTGCTGGGATTTGCAGGGTGATGGATGGCTGTGTCCTCTCTGCGCCTCAGCTGAGCAGGCAGAAAAGAGAGAGGTCAAACATGGGCAAAGAGCATGACGGAGAAATGTGCTGGCACAGCCGGGGTCACAGTGGGGGAAGCTGCAGCCTGTGGTGACAAACGCTCACTTGTCACCGAGGACACGGGGCCAGGCCCTGCTGGGCCACCCTTCCTCCTGACAAGCTGGTTTTTAGCTGCAAGCACGAACTGGGGTCTGCTGGGTGAAACCACCATATGGCAATGCTTCCCATCCCCTAGGAAAACCTCTCACATCCCTTGAGAAAACCTCTTGTGTGCTGGCAGCCTGACTACAGATCGCTCCTATCGCAGCCACCTCCCTCCAACCGAGGGCAGGCAGGGCTTTCCTGTGGGATGCTCCCATGCCTGGCATGATGGCCCCTCTCTCTCTTCCCTCTCTGCAGGTGGGAGACGAGCAGCTGGAGCGAGTGCTCCCGCACCTGTGGGGAGGGATACCAGTTCCGCATCGTCCGCTGCTGGAAGATGATCTCGCCGGGGTTCGACAGCTCCGTGTACAGCGACCTCTGCGAGTCCGCCGACATCACCCGGCCGGACGAGCGCAAGGTCTGCAAGAACCCGGCCTGTGGGCCCCAGTGGGAGATGTCCGAGTGGTCTGAGGTGGGTCCCTGGCCTGGCAGTGCTCAGGGTCAGCAGCTGTGCCTGCGCTTTTCTGTTCCTTTCCCGGCATAAAGTCACCCACAGCCGTCAGACACTTGGCCTGTGCAGACACTCACTGCTGTCACTGCACGTGGACCAACGTGCAGCAGGGTTTTTTTCCCCTAAAATGAAGATCTGGCTCCCATATAGGATGGGGAGGTCACTGCCATCTGTCAGTTGTGGGCTGCTGAGACCCTGAGGTAGGGCAGGAGCCCACAGCTCAGATCCTCCCACCATGACTTTCTTGGCAGCCTCTTCAACCCCAAGGTGCCAGGGAGGAGATTCCACCTCACACCTGAATTAAATTCCTGTAAACTTCCCTTCCTCACCTCCAATTTCTCTGCAGCACATGGAGAACGAAACCTTCTCCAAACTGTGCCTTAAGCCGATCCCCAAAGCTGCTGAGATGGTTTGGGAAGGCACAGTGCTGCTCCTGTTCTACCTCACTGGTTTTCTTGGGAAAACTTGTGGAAAGGGTTTGTGCCCTGAATTCCTTTCCAGGCACCAACAGTGTTCCAGCACAACCCTTACAAACATAAACCCATGGAAACGACCAAACCAGTGCTGCTTCCTCAGGGTGCCTCTTCCCAAATCAAGCACAGACCTTATTTAAGCAAGAGCAGACTGAGCTCTGAGCCGAGCTGTCCGTGGGTGCCAACCTGCCCCATGGTTTACATCATGAGGAATATGACTCTTCCTCCTGGGAATCTCCCAAAACGCGTCTTAGTCATAATTTCAATGTCTCTGTTCCTCTGCGAGCTGGTGTGCGTAGTTTCCCTGGAGCTGATGGAGTGGCTGGTGCATTCCCTGGTGGTGCAGGATGTTTTGACTTTCCCAACCGGGTAGAGAGGAGCTCCCTGTGCACGTGCTGGCGCGTTTTGTCCGGCGTAGCAAACCAGAGTGGCTTTTTTTTTTACAGAAATCTGTATTCTCCTCCAGCATGTGTCAGGGACAGATTGCTTGAGACAGTCCTGGAGTAGATTGTTCTTAGCCAGCAGCAAAGCTAATCTCCTTTGGATCCCATCTGAGGTGGGGTGCCAAGTTGGCTGGGGAAATAGGCATTAAAAAAAAGCACATTTCAGGGCTCTGAGGATTAACATCTCGGCGCGGTGCGTCTGAGCGCTGTGCTGTTGACACTTTTCCCTGCTTTACGTTATGCACAGAGCAAATGTGTGTGTGAGAGACTGTAGTAACTCAAATCCAGTTCTAAATAATGTCACCGGGCTGTGCAGTGCCAAATTTATCTGCAGCATAAAAATCTCAGTTGTGCAGCTCGGGGGGAAAACATTCTCCAAAGAGGAGCTGGCTGTTCCCAGGAAGGAGGCGAGGGAGATCTCACTCTGTCTCTAAGTGACAGCTAAAACTGTTCAGCTCTGATCAGGCATTTCTGGAGCCTTGGGTTCCCACCCTCTGGCATCACCTGTCAGAGAGCACAGCACCCGGGCAGGATGCAGCCCTCCTGCACCTTGAGCTGACGGCTGAAGCTGTCGAGGGGGTTCTGGGGAAGAGTCTTTTGTGCATTTTCAGCGTGTGCCTTTAGAGTTTCATGTTGAAGTGTGGAAAAAAAAAACCAAACGCGAAGCCAGCGGCTCCCAGCTCCCATCGTGTCGGGAGCCCCGGCTGATGCTGTCCCCCCCTGTCCCCTCCCGCAGTGCTCAGCGCGGTGCGGGGAGCGGAGCGTGGTGACACGGGACATCCGCTGCTCGGAGGAGGAGAAGCTGTGCGACGCCAGCGCCCGGCCCCTGGCCGAGAAGAACTGCACGGGGCCACCCTGTGACAGGCAGTGGACCGTCTCCGACTGGGGACCGGTGAGACCCCGGAGTGACCGGCCGAGTGGCCATCGCAGCCCATCACAGATTGCAGGCTGGCTTGTCTCTGGCACTGGGAGTTTTGGGGTTGGGCTTATCCTCCCTGGTAGCTCCCAGCTCCGACAGACCCGCAGGCAGCCTGTACTCGGATCCAGCCTCCAAACAATTCCACTGCTTTGGCTTTCCCAGTCTTCGTGTCACCTCTGCCAGCACTGTCACCCTGGGTCACCCTGACTGCACTGGTGGTGATCCAGCACCCCAGTGGATCCCATAGATTCTCCCTAGGTCCTCCTTGAGGGTCCTGCCTTGCAGGGGATGCGGTGCAGGAGGGGTTAAACCCTGAGAGACCTGGCTGAGGGCCTTAGTGGGTGTCAAAATCCCTTTGTCTGTCTGCTGCACAGCATTCCTTGGCAATGCTGATGCTCCATGCCCAAAAAATGAACCTTTTCCTTTTTTAAATCCCTTTTCCTTTTTTTTTTTATTTTCCCCTTTCCCTTTCCCCTTTTTCCCCTTTTCATTTTTTTCTTCTTTTCCCCTTTATTTTTCTTTCCCTCTTTTTTTCCTTTCCTCCTTTTTTTCCTCTTCTCCTTTTCTCTTTTTTTTTTTTTTCTTCTTCCTCCCCCCTACCTTTTTTTCCCTTCCTGCACAATTCAGCTCCAGAGACCCCCTCCATCCCAAGCTATTTTTACCCAGGTTTTGATACATTCACATCAGCTAAAAATAAGTAGTTTCCATGGCAGCAGCAGCGCTATGAAACACCAGGAGCCTCTGCAAGAGCGGCCGGGAAAGCGCCGGGGAGCGCTGGCTGCTCCGGGCAGAGCCTGTCTGGCCCTGGGCAGTGGGGGAGGAATATTTGCAACCACTTCCTCGGTCCTCTTTGCCTTGACCTCTTTGGGAGCCACCCCGGGGGTTCCCTGCTTGTGATGCTTCCCCTGCTGCCTGCCCTGAGAGATGCTGAGTGTTGCTCAACACGGTGGGGCCATGGCACTGGCACAGGTTGCCCAGAGAAGCTGTGGCTACCCCATCCCTGGAAGTGTTCCAG